TGCTTGGCCTCTTGTCCTCCCCTGTCCCCGCAAAAACTTCTCCAAAATAAGGTTTCCAGTGAGATCCAAAGCTACCAGGTGATCTTCCCTGTTAAGCACAGAAATTAATTTCTAAGTACTTTAAAGATTTTCTTTTAAATACAAATCATTGGCCCACTTGCACCTTCTGCTAATTCTCCTCCATCAGTCCATGGTTACTCACTGCTATATACTTTTTATAATCAGTAGCTTAGAAACATTCAAAAAGTTCATCAGCAAGAGACAAGCCCAATAAAGTATGGCATACACAGCCATATGGAATACTATGCAGCTCTGAAAACAAAGCTGGGCACTTTCTACTGATACACAAAGTCTCTAAGTTGCAAGGAAAGGACAAAGTACATAGCAGTGTGCATATTCTGTTTGCACAAATGTGAAAGTAGGAGTTTGTTTTCATGTTTTCTTGGGAATATACTTTTAAAGCACTAAAAAGATTTATAAAAAAGAAAAACAGTTGTGCTACAGGAGTCTGGGAGTGTGGAGACAGGAATAAAGCTTTGTACTGTGATCATGTTGCATGTGCTAACTTCTGAATTTTGAGATCAACTTATCCAGGCAAAAATTAAAATGAAATTAAAGAGAAGTAAGAAAGGCAAAGGATGGAGCATGTTCAACATCCCGGCTGCCAACTCTGGAGAGAAACCCTCAGCTCACAAACCATTCATGAGGCCAAATCCCTCATCACCTCTTTTTAAAGTTGTTTTCGTTGTGCCTATCAGTTACAAGGAAGAGCGGTTTCCGTCAGCTCCAAAATACACTCCACCCACCTCCAAAGAGCCCCGCCAGGGCTCAACCCCAGAATGCACTGCAGAGGGGATGACCACATGCTCACGGTGACAGCCAGCCAGTGGTAGCCCAGCCGCTCTCACTGGGCCAGGCCTGGGGGCCTGGGCTGCTCGAGCACCATGCTCAGGGCTGTCCTCTGTCCTGGTGAGGGCAGTTGTGGCTTCTGCTGCCTTTGCTACCACTTCCGGGGGACGGCAGATGGGACAGTGACTCAGACAAGAAAGGGCTGTGGGGGATTCGAGCGAGGCAAAGCACAAGACCCCAAGAAATAAAATTGCACTGGGAGGGGAAGGCAACGTGCTTGCTCAGGCTCTGAAATGAAACTCGATCCAGCCCTGGATGCAACTTTCTCCAGGCAAGGACAGATGTGAACGTGTCACCAAGTGAAGGTCACGTCAAGGTCATGGAATGGACAGGTGCAGGATGCATGGCCAGGTGGGACCACAGTGTACAGCAGGTGGGCCTGAATTCTGAGGTGTTTGAGTAGGGCTGAGGGAGCAGAGGGGTTGTGCTTGAAACAGCCAGGCAGGAAGAAGAGCAAGTGCAAAAGGCCAGGGGCAGGAATGGGTCTTGACAGTCAGCCGGTCAGTGAGCCTGCAGCTGAGTGAGGGAAGCTCGGGTGATGGGGTTTCACAGATATCAGGGGCAGGTGGACTCTGCAGGGCCCTCCAGGCCAAGACACATCCAGCTGATCCTCTTTCTCTGGCAGGATCAGATGCCACTGGCGGCTGTGGAGAGAGACAGTTGGGTAAGGTTGCAAAGGGACTGCTGTCTTGAGGACAGACCCAGGATGAGGAGGAGAGGGTAAAAGACAGAGGAGTTGAGATAGGGTGCACACTACTGTCCCTTGGCTATTGCAGGAGACCCCTTGGCCGGGACCTTTCTGTTTCTCCAAGGACAGCTGTGCCCTTGACCTTGACCTGGAGCCTTGCTTTGGCTCAGGAGTCATAAGCAGAAATTTTAGGACCATGGCCTGGCTGGCGCCTGTGTTTTTTTCCTCTCCTACAGGAGTGGACTTTGACACAAGGGCCTCTCCCCAGCCCCAGTCCAAGACCCAGAATATGCACTGAACAGAAGCACGTGGCTGACCACAGCACCCAGGTGGCATGGGTGAGAAGCAAACATCTGAGGTTGGGGATGTTTGTTACCAAAGCAGAACTGACCAATACAGAGACCGTGGAGAAGGCTGAGGCGCCGAAGGAGGTGGGGAGAAGGGGCTGGTTCCACACACTTCCAGAAACACAGAGCTGACAAGATTTGAATTTGATGCGTGGAATCAGTTTGGTTTTGGTCTGGGTCCTGCTGAGTTTCTGGTGCTTTTGTGACATCCAAGTGGAGAAGAATCCATGGGAAAGCAAAGCCCTGGGAGCTGCGGGATACAGAGGGAGGGTGTGGATGGAGGAGACTTCAGTGGGCCAGCCCGGTGGGTATAAGACAGAGCAATGTGGTTCTGGCAGGACGAATGGGCTCCAAGCAAGGGGCACAAGCAAGCGTGCAGATGGAGGCGGAGACAGCACGGTCACTCCAGTGGAGGCAGTAGAGGGGTCTCCAGCCCGCCCCGGTTCACCCCAAGTCTGCGGCCCTTCTCCATCTCACCAGGAGCATCTCGGTGTCATCTTGCTTGGAATCACCTCTCCAGAGTCCCTCTTTGTGACTGGTTCTTAGGAACCCCAAGACCTATGCCCCACAATAGCCCACAGCCCTGGCCCCCCTCAGCCCGTCTGACCTTGTAGCTTCCTCATCCTCCATGATGGAGCCCTGCAACCTGGCCCTGCCCCAGGGGGCTTCCCTGGCAAAAGGAGGAAATGCAGCCCTGCTTCTCTCCCTCGGGGCCAACCTTCCCTGCCCAGGGCCTCCACCTTCCCCAAGCTTCGGGCCAGAGCCTTTGTCCACAAGCCCTGGATAAGGCAGCAGCTCCATCTCCACTGCAGCTCATGGAAGTTTGCTGCCCACAGCCCTGGTGCTGCTGGGGTCGCCCACAGCCAGCTGCTCCTCCGTCCTCTGAAACAGGAACAGGTGACACAGCCCAGCAAACAGGGAAGAAAGTGTGCTGGCTCTTCTCCGGCCTTCTTGGTGTGAAAGGGACTCTCCGAGGCCACATTTCTCACCTCTGTGCTGAACCGTTTTTACTAGATGGAGGGTGAGGAACCCGGAAGGGAGTTCAACAGGCACTGAGGAAAGACAGGAGAAAGAAGAGACTATCTTGGGAGGCTGATCAAGAAGGAATGAAGCCACATTCAGCGGCAGGGACGTTAGTGTAATTGTCAAAGTCACGGAAGTGTTGGAACCATAGCTTGATGCTTTCTAATCCAAGCCCCCCCCCGCGACACACACAGGGATGGAGAACATCATATGGAAGCTGTTCCCCAGCGGAAGGAACACTGGAAGTCTTCCTCGGAGGAGCAGGCATTGCCCTACCCCCACCTACTCGCACTTCCTCCCTCACACTGGAAGGAGCCAGCCATGTCCGTAGGGGAAGCCCTCACCAAGACCTCCTCAAAACATCATGGAGCAGGTCTAAGTGGCCCCTGGGTTCTGAAGTCATAGTGCAGTGTTGGCATCTGGCGCTGTCTTAATCACTCTCAGTCACTGGAATAAAATAACACACCCATGACCTGAGGGAGGAGAGGCTACATTGGCTCACTTTTCAGTTCATGATAGGCTGGCTCTAAGACAGGGCAATGTGGCGGAAAGGCCTGGAGAAGGAGAGCTGTTCACATCATGGCAGACAGGAAGTAGAAGCAGAGAGACAGACAAGAAGGGAGGAGCAGGGAAGGGAGATACATCCTTCCAGGCCACGTCCCCAGTGACCACCTCTTCCAACCAGACCCTACCTCCTGACAGCAAGTCAGCTATCAATCCAATCAGCTTTCAAAAACTCTTATGAGTGCAGGAGACTCATGGGAAACACTGAGATATAAACCGTAACACCCACCACACCCTTCCTTTATGGAAGATGCCACAACACAGGCTGCCTCAAAAGAAAGTTGTGTTGCCTTAGTTCCTGCCTATCTTTAGCCTTTTGGAATAGAAGCAAGGTGGTCAATGCTCATTACTTTCCTAACCAAGGTTCCTTGCATGAAGTCATGCTGTCAGGAGCTCTGCATGAGAAGATACTCATTAGGGTTAGCATCATCCCATCTTGATTTCTTGGCTTTATTAGAAAACGCTGCAAACCTTAATTGAAACAATCACAGAGAACATATGGGTTGATCTCAACTAATCATTAGACTATGTGCAAATGCACAGTCTGTTTCATGTAAAGAAACGGTGCTCAGACCATCAGGTCCAGAGATTTATACAGGGTACCAGTTCATAAGTGCAAATGGCTCCCACTAGACCTGTCCTCGACTACCATCAAAAGTTTGGAGAGGAGGAAGCCACTCAGTAGGGCATTCTGGGGTGATGGCAAACTTTGAAAGAAAGCCAGGGACCATCTCGAGAAAAGTCACAAGTGTTTTCTATGCAGTCCAGGGAATACCCATCCCCAGTGAACAGCTCACTGTCCTGTGAACTAAAAACGGAAATAATTTGAATTTTCTTAGCACTCAAGGCATTGGCATGAAGTAGCCTTGGTGCCAGTCATGTCTGGGAGGGTATAGAAGGCAGACCCTTTCCAAGAGCCTCCCTGAAGACCAGCACAGAGCCCTTCCCTCGAGGTCACTACTGCCTGTTCTCCTGGGTAAGGCGGGTCCCCTTAACCACCGGATTTGAGTGACTGAGCCAAACCCTAACCCTAGGAAGTCCGGGCCCAATCACGTGGTGGAACACACCACGCTGGGGCCAACGAAAAGCATGTGACCCGGGTCAGACAGTGGGATTTAATGTTGGGGCTCCTGTAGGAACTGTTGGGAAAAGAACAAAAAAAACTTTTTTTTTTCTGCTAGAGTGGCTGCGACCCGTGATGGAAGCCTGTGATCCCTAACCGCGGTGACTTTCGCCTGCACAGGAGCTTCAGGAATGGCTGGGGATGGTTTTGGTTGTCAGATCTAGGTGTGGGAACCAGGAATGCAATGCTCAGGCGCCTAACTCAAGAACAACCTAGCCCCAAATACTAGTAATGCTGAGGCCCAGGAACCCCGTGTAAGGTCAGAGATGCAGGCCCCACTTCGTATCACGTGACTCCGCCTGCTCCACCGGAAGCCGCTCTGCGCATGTCCGGAAGAGCCCTGCTGCCAGTTAGCGCTGCCTTCCCTTCAGGCACAGGGCGACGGGGACACTTCATGATCTCACAGGGTCGCTGGATGAGAACAGTAAACGCATTAGCCATGCAGCTGCTCCCCCTGACTTCCCTACGAGGCACCTGCTGGTGCTTTTGCCTCCCTTGTTTGCCCTTTCCTTGTTAGCATGGCTGGACTGCAGAGGCTACTGAAGCGAGGACTTGTGCTCCTGATCACGCACACGCACTTGCACCTGCAGCCTATGTGGGGAAAACTCTTGAGGTTGTGGGCACCAGCGCCCCCTGCTGGACCTGGGGGCTCTGTGGCCGGGCCTGGAAATCAACCATAGGAGACTGACACCGTCCTGCTCCTAGGGCAGTTAAGAAGGAGCTGGGATCCAGTTGCAGGAAGAAGGGGCAGGGCCTGTCTCCAGCCCAACTCCAGGATCTCCGGCTCCTGTGTGGGAGCCCCCGTTCCTCACCAGCCAGCCAAGGCTGAATCCTACCTTTCCACAAGCAGTTTCTACGATGAGCAGATGGGACCTGATTGGCTATTGCGTTTCACAGCTTTGTAAAGACTTGTGGGAACTCAGTCTTGAGAGGGACTTGTAGCCAGTAGAGGTCATTTTTCTGCTCTTCTGGCAGTTGTCCAGGCGGGAGCCTCCGTGTTGCTCTGAAGCTATTTTCCTATATGTGCTTAGCTTCTGCAGTCAGTTCGCTGTAAGCAGAAGCAATTATTTTTTGAAATCTGGATGGATGGGCAGGCCTTGTCCAATCAGGTGAAGGACATCAGGAGCCAAACTGCAGAAGAAAAAAAATGCTGCTTGTGGGCAACAGCATCAGGTGTGGCCTGAGGGAGATTGCAGTTAGGATATAGACCCAAGTTTGAGGTCCGTGAGGTCAAGTTTGAAGACTGGACTAGGGCTGGAAGAATGGCTCACCCAGGACGGTTTTTTTTTTTTTCTGGGTTGAACAGGTGCAAAATGGCTCTCGATTTGGTTTGAATTCACTGTCCTTAATTAGCAGAAGCTCAAGCATTCTTTGTGCCTTCATTGTCCCTCATGTTCTCACTCTGGAAAGGTGAGCTATTTTTTTGGTACTTTGGATTCTAATTAAATGTTTGTTCCCATATAGATTTCTGATGGCTTAGGTCCATTTACGAAGAGCCTTCTCTTTCTACCCTGGTTTTCAGTGCCATTTCTGATTATATAGGGTGTGTAAAATGGTGACCGTATTTGTTAGATTTGTTTGTCAGTTCTCTTCTGTTCCATCAGTCTGTCTCTTCTGAGTCATCCACACTGTTATTCTTCATTGCTATAACTTTATAGTAAGATTAGCTCCCTGAACTTACTCCAATAACTTTTCTGTAACTCTTAAACAAAAGTAAAAAGTTAAGCTAAAGATTAGTTTTTATGTTATACGGATATCTACATTTTCTGTGAATTTTGAAAGATTTGTTTCTTTCCCATAGTTATAATTTTATGTCTTTCTCCTGCTCTGGTGCTCTGAGGAGAACCTCTGAAATCACTTCTACTGAGTAGAAGTGATATAGTGCTCCTCTTTGTCTCATTCTTAATTTTAAGAAGAATACTTTTACTTTTAAACTTTTAAGTGAGCATCTACTGTATGTTTCCTTATTGTTATTAGGTTTAAAAAGTCACATTCTGCTCTTAATTTGGTGATTGCTAATAACATAGATGTTTGATTATATTTTCTATGTCTATTAAGGTACATAGTTTTCTGCTTTAATGTTACTATCTTGGTGTTAACTCTTTTTTTTTTTTTTTTTTTTTTTTTTTTTTTTTTTTTTTGGGGGTGTACGAGATTGAACTTTTTTTTTTTTTTTTTTTTTTTTTTTTTTTTTTTTTTTTTGGTACCAGGGATCGAACTTGGGTCCTTGTGCTTGCAAGGCAGGTGGCGGAACCACTGAGCCAAATCCCCGGACCGATGTTAAATTAATTGAGGTTCCAATATTAATAATCCAGCTTTGGTAAACTTACACAATAGTGGTGGAATTTCTTTTTTATTAATGGTTGAATTCTCTTGGGTTATATTTTGTTTAGTGTCTTTGCATCTTGCATTCATAAGCGTGGTTGGCCTTTTTTGTGCTGTTCTTGTTCTTTGACGTTAAAGCCACGTTAGTCTCACAAATTATATTGGGAAGTTTTTTTCTTTCTATGTTCTCTATTTTTGGAGTGAATCTGGGCCATGGATATTTGATCAGCCTCACTGATAAAACCATCTGATTTATAGATTCCTTTATAGGAAGAGTTTTGACTGCTAATTTGATTTCTTTAGTACCTATATTATTACTCTTTTAATTCTTTATATATAATTTAAATTATAATATATAATTTTATGTAATTTTTAATTATTTGTATATTCTTTATTATTTTAGTACATGTAAGATTATCCAATTTTATATCAGTTTGATCTTTTTTGTTTTTTATATAAGTTTTTCCATTTCATCTAATTTTCCAATAGATGGAAATAGATTCACAGGAGACTGAAGTCTTTAAGAAGTGTCAGCCGCCGTAGTTCATCCTCTTTTTCATTCTTAACAGAATTTGTTTCCCAAAACTACTCTACAAGAGTCTGACCCACTATGAGACAAAAAGTATGAGTTGATTTGAGGAGCTGAGAAGGGAGATTCAGGCAGGTTCAAGAGCGCCAAACAGTTGGTCAGAGCACACCAATGTGGGCTTCTCCACACAACAGCAGTGTTTCAATTTCCAAGAACACTTGACCTTAAAACATAGCCTTTGCTCAGCTGAAGCTGAGACTCTGGAGTCATTTGGCTTCACCTTGCACCACTTCTTTACCTGCCTGAGGGCACAAGTCCTTCCGTGGGCTTCTCTACCATGAACTTGCACTGAGACCTTGGCTCACGTTCCTTCTCTTGCCCCCCGTGCTCTCCCTCTGTTGAACATCTCAAACTTATAATGCAGCCTCCTCCACCTGCCTCCCTCCAGCAGTTTCTCCTTGCCTTTCCTGCCCTGCCATCGTATGAATTCCATCTGTTTGCCCATTGTGGAATAGTTGTCCATCCTACTACTTTTACACTTGTTAGGCCTTTCTTTGAAAGATCATAGTGGCTTGGGATGGAGTCAGACAGACATTGATTCAAATCTGACCCTGATGCTGAACAGCCACGTGCACTTGGATAAACTATCATAACAAACCCTCTGCCTTCATCCAGAGAATGATACTGATGCCTTGTTGCTTTTGTTTTTCTTAATAAGTGGAAGGCCGCTTAACATGAGCATAACCTAACAGCGCTGGTTTAGAGCCCAGTGATCACTGCATAATTCCACTCTTAAATGCCCTGAGCCATACAGAAACAAATGGGCAGAGCCGTGGACAATACAAGCAGGGTTTTCTTATAAGAACTGTGGAACTGACTAATCTGCTACTAGGCCTATCAGGAGTAGGAACGATTATTCCTCAGTAGCTTGGTTTCCATGGGGAGGGGCCTGGCCGCTGTCATTCTTGTTCTATACCCCATCATTTCCTGTCTCTCCAACAGGAAAAAGTGGAACTACCCTGCTGGAAACTAGTTCGTTTTGCTTCTCACCTCGTTTCTGTCCAGTTGCTATGCCTGTGCAACTGTATCGGTGAAAGGGTTAAGGATTGAAGCCCAGTTTTTCAGCCTTAAACCGTGTTCTTCCTTGAAAAATGTATTTATATATTTATCTACTTGACTTCTGAGGTGATTCCAAATGTGAGAAAGGAAACAGTCAACGCCTGCTGGTCTTGAGAGGGCCTCCATCTTTGCCAACAAGCAGACAAGCTGATGAAGACAGCTGCCTCTAGGCCTCTGGAGGAGTCTCTCTGGCTTCTCCTAGACCACAGTCTAGAAGCGAGGCCTCTTCCTGGAAGAGCACTTTCAGTACATCCTCTGCGTTCCGCATTCAAGAAGCCTTGGGTCTGCCACAAAGGCCCGCAAGCCACACTCCAAATGAAGTGTGGGACAGGGAAATGGGAGAGCTGTGGTCTGCTTCCTGTTTGCCAACTACCACCGAGCTTCCGTCCCTGGACCGAGATGCAGAGCGCAAGCTGAACCTGAGCTGTAGGGAGGCCGTCTAGTGACGGCCTAGGGAGGACAGAATTTCGAGTCCTGAGAGTTGTAAGATTTCCTCACAACTTGAGGTGATCTGCAACATCATTAACCTCTCAGACTTCCATTTCACATCCACACGATGGTGACAAAATACCTTGAAGGGTTATTGTACAAATTAAAAACATGTTTACACGTAGCTTGTCTCTAAGCTGTTACTAATATGGCAAAAAATAGTGAGGAGTAGTATTGTTCGGAAGAGAAAATGATTGCCATTGTGAGTCTCTTTCTGACCCGAAACCTGCTGTCACAATTATTTATACTGGAATCCACCCTCTCCCTCTGGCCAGTGTCCTGCTCCCTGTCCTGAGGCCAGTTTGAAGCTAGGGCCCAAGCGTCCAGCCTTTTTTTTCCCTTCACCAGAACAGAGAAAAAGTGAGGAAGTAACCCATCGGCTAACTTCCAACCTTTCACACAGAATTTGTTATATTCCTGCCAAGTAAAAACAAGAAAACAAAAATAACAAGAGAATTTAGAAAACATAAAGGAACGTCTTAAAATATTCTGGCTTTCTAGTCCAGATTCTTTACAAATGGTTTCCTAACTCACGGCCTGTGTTCTTTCTTACACATTCAGCCTACACCCCCACCCTTTCCGTACTCTGTCTCTTGTGAGTTTAGACAGAAAGACAGTCTGGGCTCCCAGCCTTCTCTGCCTCCTTGGAGGTGGAAATGGTTGATCTGGAGTTGGGTTAGGGTCCCCAAGGCGGGCAGATGCTCTCGGCTGAGCCATGTCTAATGCCAAGCAGGCTGTGACCAACAAGCCTCACAAAGTGTGCCTTCATACAAGTGCGCCATAGGCGAGCGGCTTCCTCTGAAGCAAGAATATGCTCAGCAGACTCACCAGGCAGCTACTTTTCCCCATTCACTTGGGACCTGCTCAGCAGAGAGGAGGCATTTTTCTTCCCTAAGCAGACGGGGCTCAAGTCAGTCTAGAAATGAAGCCACACCACAAATGAATTTTGGAGGATTCCAATGCCTGTGATGTCCAAACCCTAATGTGTGCCTGCCCCTCAGGACTAAGTGGCAATGGTCCCCCATGAAACCACTGTGCCAGCATTCATCTCAGGCATTGGGACATTTTGCAGACTCCACGTTGCTTAATGCTGGGGAAACTGGAACAACCAGATAGTCCATGTGCTGCTGAACACCCAGCAGAGTCACACGGTCGTTCTCTGCGCCTGGGAATTCCTGGACGAAAGTTGTCCAGAACGTTTATAGAGTTTTTCCAACTGCTAAAGTGTTTCCACATGACTTGGGCCAATGGGAATCCTCTCCAAGCTTACCCCTAGTCCAGGCACCACCTTTCTACATGTTCATTCAGGAGCACAGCTGCCCACCATCATGCACTGCGCCGGTCCTGACTCAGTGGGCCATACATGCAGTCCTGCTCCAGGCGGACACTGAACCCTCCCTCCGTGGGCCTCCCACCTCTGAACTTGTACAAGCTGGCTTCTGTCACTCTTCAAATAGGGGCTCAGAACTGGTAGTGGAGTCTATTTAATGTAGAATAAATGCATTCCCCTTTCCCCCACCTCATCTTTCTGAGACAGGGTCTCATTGTGTCACTATGTAGCCCAGGCTGGCCTTGAGCTTGCATTGATCCTCTGACTTCAGAGTGCTGGGATTGCAGGCATATGCGCTATGCTCTGCTCTCGATCTGCTTTATAAAATACAGAATTAGAAATCTCATCACCACCCCCCATTATATTTTCTGTCTGCATAAAGCAAAATAGCTTGAGAGTAAGAGGTGAGGTTGGAGTTAGTACTGAATCTGGTAGTCCTGAGTCTGGAGTCTTAGTTCTATCTCTTATGAGAGCCAGGTAAATTGTTTACCTGTAAGGTCTTTTAATTGTATCCTGGAGACAGCGGAAGAACTGAAATAAGGCATGTGCAGGGTCTGACTCACACAACTCATCTGGTATGAGCTGTTCTACGTGTCATTGCTGTAAGACCCAAGATCCTGAAGTCTTCTTCGGGTTTGCTGCGGCCCAGTCAGCCTCCCAGGTACTCTGGACTGGAAGGAGGTCTCAACAACTTCATCTAGATCATCACTGTAGTCTGTTCTTGGGGATCCTGACTTTGTTATATAACTGACATTCTTCTCAGCTCAGTGGTATCTGGAGCTGTGTTCAGTCCTCCAGAGGCCTCTCATGCTCATAGGTGCAACTTTGGAAGGTGACCGAATCATGGCGGCTGATAGCTGATTTGATGTTAGGAGGTGGGGCCTGGGTGGAAGAGGTGTGTGACTGGGGATGTGGTCTGAAAGGGTTTATCTCCCTTCCTGGCTCTTCCTTCACTCTGTTTTTCAGCAGCCATGATGAAAGCAGCTCTCACCTGCCAGATTCTTCTTCCAGACCATTTGTGCCTTTGAGCTGGCTGATCACAGACTGAAACATCGGAAACTGTGAGCCTAAATAAACCCTCCTCTTTTAAATTGTGGATGTTGGGTACTGTGTCTCATTGATGAGGAAAATGACCAAAACAGTAAGAATGAGACATTTCGAGGTAGAGGCTGGGGTTTAACCCTGTTCTCCTTTCTACATGGGCAGTGGTCTTTCCATTATCCCTGTAGTCATGCTGATTCAACCAATACTAGCCTTATGAAAACCTCTGAACTACTTTAAGTCATCTCAGAATGAAATTCTAGCTACTATTTCTATATTCTTTAGACAACATGCTGTGTTGCTACAAAACATGAGAAATTCATTTATTTTTTCATAAAGTTCCTACATAGACCATGCTTCCTCTACAAGTCTGTAATTAACTGGTCACCATCAATACGGCTTACTTTAACTGAATAACAGTTTGTAAAAAAAAAAAATGTGTGCGAAAAATGAGTTTACTTAGTACAAGTTTAGGCTCACAGTTTCAGACATTTGGGTCCATGGCCAGAAATGGCTTGGTGGATGAATCTGGCAGGCAAGAGCTGTTTTCATCGTGGCTGCTGAAATTGTAATGATGAGTCAGAAAAGTGTGTCAATTTGTCTCTATGTAGCCTTAACTTGGCATGTGTTGTTGTTAGCTAAGGATCGAAAGCAAAGACCATAGAGCTACTGATGAAAATTTAGCATTCACCCTTCCATTTCTGACCTAAGCATCTTGGGACTGATCATAACTGAACTCTCGGATTTGTTTATTGAGGACCACATCCCCGTCAGAGAGGGAGGCTTGGGACATGGGCCTTATGCTGTTGAGTTGCAGCTGGCTTTTCTGACAGTGTACATTTCAAGAACACTTGATCGCCAGAGGACTCTAGAAATGTCTGAAAGATAGGCAGAACTCCCATGGTGTTGCTAGGCTCAATTTCAAAGTGGTCCTCAAGATTCATGTTCACTTGTATGTACCCTAGATGACCTCTTCACTGTAGGGTGATTGGACCCTGCAATTCAGACCCATTCTATAGCAAAAGGAATTTTGCAGATTAACATATATATAT